ACACGGACACGGGCACGGCGCGGGGCGGGCCGGGGCGGAGCGCGGCGGCACCGACCGAAATTGCTCGGCTCGGCACGGCAGGACACGATACGGCACTGCACGGCTCGGCACGGCTCAGTTCGGTACGGCACTGCAGAATTCGGTACGGCTCAGTTCGGTACGGCACTGCAGAACTCGGTACGGCTCGGTTCGGCTCGGTTCGGCACGGCACGGTTCGGCTCCGTTCGGCACCCCGGTGATACCGCGCGGGGCCCGGCTATCCCGGGAGCGGCGGGGGCTGCGCCTTGCGGGGCCGGGGCGCCTCGGGGGTGTCCCGGGTGCGGGGGCGATGCCGTGCCCGTGCCGTGCCGGGGCTGCCGTGCAGCGGGACCGGGGCGGGCAGCGCGGGTGTCCCACGGGAAGCGGAGCCCGGCAGGTTTTGGGGTGTACCGCACCCCGAAGCGTGCGAGCAGCGGGTTACACAGGGCTCCCTGTGTAACTCAGGGTTTCCATGAGGACCGGACATGCTGCAGCTCATGGAAGAGGGAGGATGGATGGAGGGATGTGGGACGGGAGGGCTGGCGGCGCTGGAAGGGATGATTCTTCTCGGCTGGCTTTTCTCCTTCCCGGCTGCTCTCAGAGGAGCCCGGAGCCGAGCCGGTCCCGTCTCCAGCAGGTCCAGGAAGGCTGGCTCCCTGCTGCAGGGTGCCTGGGACACCAGCCCCACAGCCCCCTGCCCGCCCTCTGCCCCTGGGGATGGCCGATGTTTGCGCATTCCTCCGAGGTTTCCCCTCCTGCCGGCAGCCGGTTCCTCCCGGGGCTGCCGAGCCCGGGCAGCTCCGAGCAGAGCGGGCAGGGCTGTGCTGAGGGCCCTGCTGTGTCCTGCGGAGGCTGCCTGGGGCTGGGAGCTGCCAGGAGCTGTGCTGTGACCTGCCCTGGCTTAGGGGGTGACAGCAGGACATGGGGACAAATGTAGTCCAAAGGGCTGACAACCTGGAGTTGTCAGAGGAGGGGAAAAGGGAAGGGCAGCCCCGGTCCCACAGAGTGTTTTGTTCCTGCTGGCACCCCGAGTGGTGCAGCAGGGTCCCTGTCCTTGCCTGGGATGGGGGCACACAGTGGTGGCAGGGGTGGGCACCCTCCCTTCGGGCAGAGAAGGACAGTGAGCTCCCAGCCCTGTAGTTTTGGGAGTGACACCAATCCTGCCAGGGAATCCAGATTCCTATGGTGACCCTGGGCTGCTTCCTGCTGCTTCTGCGACCAGTTTGTGGAACCATGTGCCCTTCCAGACCCTGGTGGTGCTTACCCCGGAGCTCTGACCCGTGTCAGATCCCCTCCTGAGCAGGGTGGGGGTGTTGGGGCTCCCCTGCTTGGTGCACGTTTGCTCCCGGCTCTCCAGGGCTGCCGGGAATTGGGAAGAGCGGAGCAGGCGGGATTGCGAAAGGGCTGAGTGTGAGGGGGCCCTGGGGAGAAGGGGAGGGATGGAGCCCTGGAGCCATGGGACTCACCAGACCTTCTCCTGCCCCGACTGCTGGGGACGTGACCCCGTGCTCTCAGGGATGTCCTGGCATGGGACATCAACAGGGAGTGACTGTGTCACCCCTTAACCTCCTGAAGGAAGGATAAACAGAGCGAGCTTCCTCTCCCTTGTGCTGGCGGCTTTCCCAGGTCTCTTGTGCTGCTCTTCTCTGAGTCCTCCCAGTTGTCAGTGCCTGGGATGCTCCATGTCCCCCGTGGGTGTGTCCAAGGCTGCTGCTGAGCCAGCACGTCCCTGAGGGGCCTCGGTGGCCTGGCAGTGCTGCTGTGGCTTGGGATGTCATCCCTGCCCTGATCAAACACACGGACTTACCCGAGGACCTGCCTCACCAGGAGCTCTGTTGGCTGTTCCCTGGGCTTTTGGTGGGGCACACTGATGTCCTGCTGTACGCCCAGTGACTGCTGAAGGACACACATGATTTGGACAGTCCTGGGTCCCGGGGCACCCCCACCAGCACAGCTGACCCCTCTGGAAGGGACAGCCCCTGTGCAAGATGCAGGGCACTGATGGGGACAGTGCCTGGCTGTAAGTCACCTGTCAGGGTGACTCTGTCCTCTGATCCATCACCCACTGGGACGAGCAGAGCCAGTGGGCTGGCACGGGAGCAGTTGGAGCAGTGTCATGGCTCCTGCTGCCATGTGGGGCTGTCCCCTGCCCTGAAGGGTGCTCTCACCCACACCAGCCTCAGCAGAGCAGGGCTGAGGCTGAGGACTGGAGGAGCCCCAGGATTTTGCCTCCTCAGTACTCTCAGACGCCCCACCACCAGTGCCAGCTGCGCTGCAGGCTGGGATGTGGCTCAGGGCCTCGTGCACACCCGGCTGGGACATTCCTGAGGTTTCCTGGGCAGTGGCAAGAACCTGGGCTGCTTCCCGGCTCCCACGCCCAGCGCTCGCTCCAGCCAGCCCGTCCTCCAGAGCCCTTTACCCTCACAGTGCAGTTCTGCTGAGCATCTGTGCCTGGGGCAGCACATCCAGAGTGCCACAAGCACATCCAGAGGGCCACAAGCCCTGGTCCAGGAGGAGATTGTCCCAGGCTGGAGCTGACAGCAGGATGGTTGGGATGCTGGGGTGGGCTGCCCATTCAGAGCAAAGCCTGTGAGCAGCAGAGCAGCAGGAGAGGAGCAAACACACAACTTGTGCCTCAGAGAACGGAAAAAGTGATGTGCACAATGAGAGCCCTGTTAGCCTGGCTGCCCAGGACATGGACACGGGCACGCAGCGTGTGCGGGGAGGGAGGTGGTGCAGGAACGGGCACGGAGCCGTGCTGTGCTGCAGGGAGCTCACATGGCAGCTCTCCTGGGCTGGCCCTGGAAAAGGCTTTGGCCCCACACAGCTCAGCTGGGAAGGTCACTGGGAAACTCTGAGGCGAGGGCAGAGCTGAGGAAGCACAGTGGGATGAGAGATGCTGGAGCAGAGCTAAAGCAGGACTCAGGAGCAGGGATTACAGACCCTGGAGCTCACGCTGCTGAGGCTTGGAGGGGGATCAGTGATTTGCTGCACAAAGCCCAAGCACTTTTCAGGTGCCGTGTTCTGGTCCATCTGTGTTTTGTTTCTCAATGCACAGATTTTAATTTTCCTTGTAGCCAAGGATGTAGGCTGCACCATGCTGATTTCCCAGGCTGTCCCTGTTCCCATCTCTGATTCCCCCATTTCTGTCTCTGCAGCCTGTACCAGGAAGGTACTTTTTCCTCCTCCTGGCACAGTTTTGCTTTGAAAAGCATGTGATCCTGACCAGAAAGCCCACGGAGTGGTCACTTCCCCATGTAACCACATTTTAGTTCCAGCAGGTGACCAGTTTTAATCCACTTAGCAGAAGGTGCACTGATTTTGTTGAGTGCCAATTCATCAAAAGGTGGTGCAAGATGAATCGAATGCCTTCCAGTCTCAGCCTGTTATATCAACACAGTTACTCCAATTAACAGGACCTGTGATCTCATAAAAGGCCATTCCCACTTCCTGCCATGGGCTATTTCTGCCAGACCGTGGAGATTGGCATTAATTGTGTCCTTTAGGGTTGTACTGACCCCGTTGTGAAAGTGCCCAGTTCCGCAGCAGAGCATCCTGCTCACTCAGGAGCGCTGGGGAAGCTCCAATCCTTGTGCATTCCTAAGGAAACACACCCCAAGTTAGCACTGAGGGGGCTCACATTTGTGTGTCAGGACAGCTCTGAGGATTTACAGCCCTTCATCTGGGCAGGACAACGTCCCCTCGCTGTCCCAGGGGTGGAATAAGAAGTTTTGTTCCTGCTGTGGGATGGCAAACTCATCCCTTCTCTGCTTCCCAGGCGGTGTGGAGATGAGGATGGAGAATTCCCATTCCAAGCCCAGAAATCCCCTTTCCTGAGCCACTGGCAGGGCTGGGGTGGCCCTTTGCACCCTCCCTCCCTTCCTGCTGGCTGGGTAAAAGGTTCAGCAGAGCGTTTGCCCTCTCTCTGCCCACAAACACACATCCTGCCGAGCTCTGGCAGTGCCAGAGCAGGCAGCTGAGGCACCAGGAGCTCAGAGCTGGCTCCCACCACCCCCAGCTGCCTGGGCCATGTCCCCACCAGCTCTGTGGTGTCCCCTGTCCCCCAGCTGTGATAGAGGAGAGAGCCAGACCCACGCTGGTGTGGTTGCTCCGAGGGAGGTGATGTGCTTCACAGAATTACAGGGCTGGAAAAGACCTCCAAGGTCATCGAGTCCAACCTGTGACCCATCCCCACCTTGTCAGCCAGACCAGGGCACTGAGTGCCACTTCCAGTCATTGCCACCCCTGTGCCTGCTGTGGAACTGGAGCAGCAGTGCTGGTCCTTGTTACTCCTCGCTCTTCCCGAGCATCTCTGCAGGCACCAGGCTCATCCCGAGGCTCTCACTGCTCCTGGTGGCACCTCCAATGTCACATGTGCCCAAAGGGGCGGGCAGGCAGCTGGGCTGGGCCCTGTGGAGGCTTGTGTTGG